CAAATAGATATGATAGATCTTATTGTTATTATTTAATTATCTCAATACGAAATACACTGCCGATCAAGAAAAATCATTCATTTTTGCTGTGACTAAATGTACTTAAACTACCTATATTAGCAAATATAGCGGTATCACTTTTTTTCAATATTGAGTTCAAAACTAACAAAAAGTAATTATTATAGTTCTTTAAATGCATTATCAACATAAACGAATGCTACTTGAATGCTACTACTTATTGAAAGAAATTCATTAATAGAACAAAACAACACTCCCTGTTTTTCTTATATTTATTTAAATAAAGATGTCATCATCTAATGGTGATGATAGAGTGTAAAGTAATAATGTTTTATTCAACTTTTGATGAAGTTTTAATATTTCTTGTTTGTTTAAATCCTCAATAAAACTAAGCATATCAAGAAATGCATTAATATCAACAGTAATTATATAATAGTTTATTAAATATTCTATATAAAAATATATCCCGTGTATACGGATTAACAGATAAAACAGTACCATAATGACATGTCAAATCGAGTCTCTGTCGAACAATAGTTGAATGGTTGATATTTTTCTTAACATAAATAATCAATCATTGCTATAAATGAATCGAAAGTATCATGCATTAAACTCGTGGTGAAACCAGGAGATCGTGTGTGGTAGATCAGTGCCCTACCATCTTAGGAATGATTCATGCAATATAGTGTTAATGATGGTAATTATTATGTTTTTCTATATTCTGTGGTAGGGCGGCGCCCGGCCTAATCTACCCCTAGGAAGAAACAGCAGATTTCAAGACTTCAGAGTTGAGGTGCTTGCTGTTCCTTCCTTGGTTACGTCACTACATTAAACGAATATACATAAAAATAGTTTCTTGTTTGTTAAACGGAGAAGTCCTATTATTGAACATATTAAAAATGATAAAAATTGGTTTTTGGATTATTTTATGTCGATGGTTAATTATTCAAAAACTTTGATAATATCAATAAATTTGTTCATAGTTCGATCACAATGAGTTGATTCTCTATTACAAAGACATACTGTATAATAATCTAATGTATTGAAAGTCATTTAGAACAAACAATAAACCTTTGTGCAATCGAAAATGTTAGAATATCATCTGCTACTATGACACCAAAAATACATACACATATATAGTCTTTATTTATTACGAAATCTATGCATGCATCGATGTCGCCCAACTCCAATGGAACAGATAAAGTCAAAAGACACAAAACGCACTTTACGTACGAGTCATATAAAGCGGAGGAAAGAGAACTGATGATATCGTACGTAAAGCAGGGAATCAAGCCGAACGGAAAAAAAACAACGCAGTATGTTTTTTTTTGCCTAGCAAATGCACGTTGTCTCAAGGACAAGTTACTATTAAAACTAAGCAACATAGTTTTATTTATCTTACATTTATAAAACAAATTAAATATTCGATTACCAATGAGTCGAACTGTATTAAACAAACTTTTATCTCATTCATTTGAAAATTATCAAATTCTTTTTAATGAGCTTAAATTTCATAATCATAATCCACATCATTTAGGTTCACTTTATTTATTGGGTGCAACTGATGATAAACTCGAAAAATCTTATAAAGTTATGTGTGAAGATCTTGATCCATATGCAACATCTCCTCATGAAATAAATCTTTCTAATTGGCGAAAATTTCTTGGTAATAAAAATTTTTGTAAAAGTTATCGTGATTTTTTTCATGAACAATTAACAACAAATGGAAATAATTGGCATAAAAAATTGAAAGAATTTTTATTAGACGATCAAGAACATCCATTAATTAATGGTGTTATTGGTGGTTTAGCACATCCACTTATTCATATTGGTTATGCATTTGAATTGGATAGTCAACTTGTAGGTATTGAAGCATTAGCAACGACTGCTGTTTGTTATAATTATCTTCATGAAATTGCCGATAAATTAAAACTACCAATATCTCCTTCAAAATCAGCTCTAGAAATTTTTAAAGATATTCATTTAGATAATCGTTTACCAATTTATGATAAACCTGATATTGATAATCTTGAATTAGTTGTTAAAAATTATACTGATTTGGTTCTATCTCATTATAATCAATGGAATATGAATAAAGAAAATATTGAAAAAACAATTGAAGAATTATTTGATTTAGCTGTTTATATATATGGTGCAACACATAAACCAAATGATATTGAATTTGATTTTTTCTTACTTCATTTAGTAACTGCTATGCATGCTATTCGTATAATATATCCACATATAAACAATCAACAAATAATTGAACATATTCTTCTTCAATTTTTTTATTTTGCTATGGTTATTTATATATGTCAATTACGACCTGAAATCAATGAACATCTTATTAATGATTATAAAATTGATAATGAAAAAAATAATTGGAATTATGTTATTGAACGAATTTTAAATACAAAATTAATCGATGACGCACATGCTGTTAAAGTTATACGAGCTTTAAAAGATGCTGATAAAGTTTATGGTAATAAGAATGGATTTTATTTAAAAACTGCAATTAAAACTGTTGATCATGTAAATGTTGAAGATATATGGATTGGAATGTCGAATGATCAACGACAATTAAATGTACTCAAGCGTTTATAATTTGGTTTTTATTGTTTGAACAAAATTAATCTGTTCTGTTTTTTTTTATGTACTTGATTTTAAATGTAATAATTTTTATTTTAAAGTTGAGAATTTAGATCGATAAGTGAATTTATCTGAACGTAATGGAAGAATTCTATTGAGTTATATATTTGATTTAATCGAGTATGATGTATAAATAAATCATAAAGATCAACATAGAATGATAAATATCTGAATTTCAGATACAGTGTTATTTTTTCTTATCAAAAAGGAACATTCTTACATGTATATTATACTTGTTGTCCAGATACATGGGATACTAGAAAAGTTTTTTCGCCCGGTTCTTCTAAAAGCTATAATTTTAGTGGAAGTATTGTATGTACAAAATTTCAGCCTTTTATGTCTTATGCATTGTTGCATTTTTTTTAAAATTTCTTTCAGATTCGTCACATATCGTTTTCGGTATGAATATCAACTCTCTTAATGAGAAGTTGACTTCTCGGAGCGTTAAATTGTTCACCCCCTAATAGGACGCGTGAATGGAGCTTAGATGCCTGTGAGCCAAACTAGTTTTACTCTACATTGGATTTGTACTTATATGTAAAGTCATACTGCATAATGGTTCAAACTTATACTGAGAATGATATATGACTAATCTGAAAGAAATGAAAGTAATACAACGATGCATAAGATATAAAAGACTAAAATTTTGCACATCAAAAACACTTGCACTCAAATTATGACTTTTATGAATATCGGATGAAAAAAAACCTTTACAGTGTCTCATGTAGTTCTCTACTAAATTTTATTGATGATAACACTCATAAACCAAACGAACAAGTTGTCTGTAATATTGCTACGAAATTAAAACTATTTCCATTTTAAACAATTTCTTTGATTTGTAAGTTATTGTGTACGGTCACGTAATATGACTGTTGAATAGTAGATTGATGCTCTCACGACAGTTGGTCTCGTAATTTTGAGGCCAATGGCGGTAAGGATGAGAACGAAATTTATTTTTGATCTCACTATTTTTCTAATTGATTTTTGATTGATCTTACTTCTAATCAAGAATCATCGGAAAGAAAATGTCGTAGGAGCATCTGTCGGGCAAGCAACAGTAATGTGCCATGAAATATTTCGAAATAGGTTTTTATAAGAACGAATTTTATTTTCTGAAACACGATCTAAAAGGAGTATTGAAGTATAGAGATAAAAGTTTGAATTCACTTCCGCACTACAAAACTTGTCAGACACCTTAACAACTCTTTCCTTCCCTCATGTCATAGACTGTAATAGACATTGTTAATATACGATCAGAGACTGTATATCAATAATGTCTTATTCTAATATATGAACTACTTCAGTATTGCATTTTTGAAGGATTAAGTAAAAGGATAATGAAGAACATAGCAATATCTGGTGATTTGCAACAGCAGCTACATCGTATATCATATTTTAATTCTCCGGGGATTACGCTTACAGTTTTTTTTCTATAATTTATTCAAAATTTCGTCGCAGAAATAACTGTTCTACATTTATTTTAATTTGATGGAATAATAAATAATTCAAATGAGAAAGAAAAACTGCATATTTCTTCATTATTTGATTCAATTTTATATTCATTAATACAACATCATATTGACATAAAAGATGTTTATTTGAAATGTATTCATAGACATCAATTTGTCTGAATGAAATAATTAATAAGTTTTAATCAATTATTGAAAATATAATTGTTTATAGTAAATTAGTATATTTGCTACAAAAATCTAATCGATTTTATTTATTTATATTGATCAAAGTTTAATACTAACACTTAAATGGCTTAAAAAAATATATCTTTACATCGTTCTTATTCATCAAGTCTTTGAATAATAAATGTCAAGAGAAGCCAACTAAACTTAAATTTCATTAACATCATTCTGTTTGATGTAAACTTCCTATTTAATGAATCATAGTTTTGAAAAAAAAACAAAACATAGATACTGTTTGATAAAGTTAATTCAATATGATTTTTCCTTTTTGAACTCTTCAAAATAAATGGTAATAACATTTTTGCATAATAAAACTCAATTAAAAGAATCGACAAAAAAAATACACAATGAAATTTAGTTGCTCTTTATTTACTTTTGACGAGATTCATTTTTCTTTTTTTCTTTTGTTTTTTGCCATTACCATGTCTATCTTTATTCACTCTTGCCAATAAATATTGATGAATAAAGTAAATAAATGCAAATACTTTTCTCTATTGTCGTTATATTCTCTTTTTTTTTCGTCGTTGTGTTTGTTTAAAATACGTTCTTCTTTTACATTCACAACCACTTCTACTTTTCTAACCAAATGGCATCATAACATACTTTAAAATTGTTATTCGTTTGTCTATTTGACTACTAATGGCTGCTACGTCTTATTCAACATTACCTTCTAGTACATATGCTAGTTTTGGATCTAGACAAGATCCATATCATTCAACTAATTATAGTAAAGATTTTATTATAAAATTTCTTTTCTTTAATCAATATTTCTTTTCTAGGTACACATGATGCAGGTTTTGGTTCATTAAATTCACATCCATATCAATATGAAACAAATAGTTATGGTACTATTCCTATTGATAATCAACAAACAAAACTAAATAGTTATTCAAATTCAGAAGTACCTTTAACTAATTATAGATCTATAGATAAAAATAATAATAATAATCCCGGAAGTTATGGTATGACAAATACCGTGCAAACATCATATAAAAAGAATATGGATAATCAACAAGTAGAATCAAAGAACCATCAACAGGTACATTTTTTTTTGTTACAAGAAAATATTTCAAAAGACAAGTTTGACATCTTTCATTTTCTTAGATCATTTTTATATTAGAAAATGCTAATTTTAATACTATAATAGTGGTATTTTATATCATAATAAATGTTTCAGAGCATATATAGAAAAAATCAAAAAGAAATTTCTTCCACAAAATCTTCTAGTTTAAATATTAAAAATTATTTGAAATAATACCATAGATAATTGCAACTTTTAAAAATTTCTATCAATTTTCACTTACAATAAACTACCCACAAAAGGTGTCATTTGTCTCCAGATTATAGAAAATGTTAAATATCAATCAAAATTCTCAAAGAAGTTTCGTCATAACGAAAAAATAGAATAATTTTCACTTAACTTACATATATCAATGCCGAATCTTTTACTTTAGCATCAATTTAACTTTTCATTACAAAGATAGATGATTTTCAATTTAGTCTTTAATCACAAAAAGCAAAGAAATCAGATATTAAGGAAGACTACCGTCTACATTATGATACAGAGTGCTGTCTAGTGCCAGATTCAATAACTCAATATCTTCTCTAAAACTAATACTAGCTTTAGTTCTGAACAGAAGGTCGAGCTGACACAGAACTCTTGAGGTTCCCATGTACACTAACTAGCCACAAGATTTTGGTCCCGGCTATTTTAGTTTTGCTAGTTCTGGTTCCGGTCTAAAGAAAAATATTCCAGAATTTATTCATATCACTTCTAAAATAATTTTTCAATGTTCTTTCTTTTTACTTATTCAGTCGACGACTATTACTTTTTGGGTCATCTCTCTTGAATTATGTTTTGACTCATATGATTCATGAGATAATTTCCTTAAAACTACAAAATATGTTACTATAAACTTGAATTTTAGTTCTGACAATTTTTTTCTTATGTTACTGGTCCTGTGAAAATTTTATTTTTTGGTTCCGCATATCTCTAGTAATCACGTAGTCAACATGCTAGCGGACGAGTGATCCGAGACAAATGGCCATGAGTGGCTTGTTCAGAGCCATTCAATAGCGGGTGATACTGAGGTTTGCAAATAGTACCTTATGAGCACGTGTTGAACAACTTAGCCACTTATGAGGAAACTTCTTCAACTACCCTTTTTCAATTTCAATGATTTTTTTTTGCTTATGGATACTACATAGTGTTCTAATAAAAACCATAAAACGATTTCGATTCCTATTGAGGTTTGACTAAGTTATCGAATTTTTAATCTGTCTATTTTCTAGAAGCTCTAGATTTTCGAAAAACTCGTATTTTGGAATTTCGATCTGAAACTTTGTGCATATAGAGAACTCAACTAGACTTGCTTCCATAAAAAAATTCAGAAGTTTTGAACAAAGTTTCTTCAAGATATGAATTTTTCAAAAGTGCATGTTGTATAGATTATCGATGGAAAAGAGTCTATACATTGAAAGTCTCATATTTCGAAGAGATTTTGTTCAAAACGTCTGAATTTTTTTTGTGGAAGCTAATCTAGTCGAATTTTCTGTATGTATGAAAGTTCAAATCAAAATTCGAAAATACGAGTTTTTCGAAAATCTAGGATCTCGAGAAAATAGATATAATATTAAAAATTTGATAGTTTAGTCAAGTCTCAATAGAAATTCAAATCGTTTTAAGGTGTTTATTAGAACACTATGCAGCATCTATAGGCAAGAAATCATTGAAGTCGGAAGAGGAGAGTAGCAGAAAAGGTTTGCTTGTCAGTCATGGTGATTTTAATTGAACTGAGGATTGTCACAAAATACGTTTAGCTTCAAGAAAAGACTCAGACAATCTTCTTTAAATATTTATTTTTAATCGAATGACATAATAAATATTGTCCAACAAAATATAAACCCCTTAATTAACATAGTTAAAAATATTTAAACACAATTTATGTATTTAGAGTTCATATGCTAACACAACACAGCAACATCCACCAATTCCAGTTGATAAGCAATTTCAGCGATCTGAAACACATCTTCTTCAATCTGAACATCAGACCTCAAATCGTCTTTCTAAGGAACAACAACACCATAAATCTCAGCCACCACTTCAATCAAACTTAACTCGATCTGAGCAACAAATGTCAAAAGCTCGTGCATCACCTGCTATTCCTCATCATTCATTATCTTATGGTGATAAGAATCATGTACCTGAAACATCATTGAAATCAAGTAGTCTTTTACAAGAATTAAAACCTACAAAATCAAGTAAGATGCGAGCTGCGGCTATACAAAAAAGAGGAAGAGTTCTTGAACAAAAACGTCAAGATCGATATTTTCCATCAAGTGAAAATACAGCTATATTAGCAAAATTACAACCTCAACATGAAAGTCCTAAACCAGATGTTGAACAAAAGAAAAAAGAAAAACCGACTCGTAATAAAAAAAAATCTCATTCATTACCAAGCCAACATCAAAGTCATCGTGATGAAAATCAAACAGAAGATAATAAAAGTTCAGGTGATGATGATGATAATAATAATAATAATAATAATAATAATAGTAATAATACTAACACACATCATCGAAGTAAATCTCAAAAACGAACAACATTTCCCAATAAGCGTCTTGAAAAACATTCACATCTTCCTCCAATTCATCATGGTCGAATGCCACCTTTATATGATCCTTACTTTGATTATCCATTCCCTCCAGGATATCATGCTAGAGGACGACATCCATATTCAGATGCATTTCCACCCTATGGATCCCATTATGGTCCATATGGTCATCCTCATTTGTATGGAAATGCTGATGATATTCCACCTTATCTTTCACCATATCATGATGCTTATGATCCATTTTTTGATTATGAAAAACGAAAAATTAAACCAAAACGACATACAAATAAAACTGATGGTCATAGTGATCATGAAGAAAATAATGGTGGTAATACTGGACATGAAATTGAACGAGATGATGGTGCTAAAAGTCAAATATCACGAAAGAGTCGAAATAAAAATACAAATAATGATCATGCTGGTCGAAAAAGTCGTCGTGATTATGAAGAAAATATGCATCCACATTGGCCACCAGGTTACTATCCATCACATTACCATCATGGTCGTGATATGCTTGAACTTTGGCGTCAAGAACGAAATGATTATTTAAAAAGATCATTTAAACCAACTATTCATGACGTTCTTTATTCTCAACAATGGATGAAAGCAGGTTATTTAATTGAAATTAAATTATTTTTATTATCTATTAGTTTAATTTTTGTTTCTTATAGATAGTTATTTAGAAAACCAACGAAGACGTGCATTACGTGATGCACAAGGTTATTATTTTCCATATAAAAAATATACATTAAAAGATTATAAAGATTTACAAAAATTAAATAATCCAAATCTGTTCGGTGATACTAATGAAGCAGTTATTGATCGAGTAGAGTTTTGTTTTATTTTTCTTTTTGATTTTTTTTTTCAAATCACTTTTTTAAAATTATGTATTTAGAAAGAACGTGCGAGAAAACGTCAAGAATATGGATCATTAGTTGAAAGACAAGTAGTCGATAATCCAGGAACACGACATATACCAGCACGTGAAATGCAATCTCGACAACCATGGCATTTAAGTAATAGCGAGTATGATGCTGAAAAAATATCAAAAAGAGACCGAGTATATAGATCATGAATGATCAAAAATAATAATGCATATATTTTGTTTTTCTTTTTGCTTTTAAAGGCTCTTGAATATGCTAAAGACCAAGTAAGACACCAACCGATAGATTCAATAGGAGATCAATCTAATAGATCAGATTCCAATGAACAATTTGTAAACAATCATATGTCAAAAATGCATAATGATCATGATAGATCAAGTATATTTATTTTATTGAAATTTTTTTCTGTAAGATTGATTTATTTAGATTACGAACGAACTATAAAAACTAATCAATCGTATGATGATTACGACTAGTGAACGTGAACATTCATTTTCATTCATTCTTTTCTTTTATTATATTTTTTTGTTGTCAAAAGGCGGCAAGATTGCGCAGAATAAAAACGAAGGTCTCAAACATAGAATCAATGAACTATTGTTGATTAAATCATCTTTACAATTCATTTTTATCCCGGACATCATATCATAGCCAATATCTCAATTGGAGCATTTCCGATTTTTCTTTCTCGTATCGATACATTAATAACTATACAACGGAAAAAGCTCCACTTGAACCAAATTGAGTGAGAAGCAGAAAAAAAGTAAACTCGGTCTTTTTTTGCAAGATAGTATTGATTGCAAGTAATAGCTTTCTACGATGGCATGGAATACATTAATTTTTAGCATTTTTTTAATGCTTGTTTTTGCCGAGGTAGTATTGGTAGATAAACGTAATAAAAATACACGCGGATGTTTTGCAGAATTGAAATGTGGAGGTAAGATCAAATAGAATCATTTACTTTAATGTAATCAATTTTTTTCTCTATTGGAATAGAAAGATCGGAAAATTTATCGATTTCTGTTCAAGGTCTACCAGGTTTACGAGGACCATCAGGAACAACAGGTAAATCTTGAATTTAGACTGTTATTTTTTTATGAAGATCTTTTCTTATTTTTTTGAGGTCCACCTGGACTAATGGGTCCACAAGGTTTAACAGGTCCTCCTGGTAAAAAAAATAAGTTCATATAATTTTTTTTTTCATATAATCTATTGCTTCGTAGGTCGTGATGGTTTTATTGAACGTCCACCTGCATTTTATGCTGAATTACGACGTTTATTTGTTACAAAAAATAGTGATAGCATACTTCAACCATGGACATTAAGTGAAACAGCAAATGTACCCGATGCATTTTTATATTTCTCACAAAACACTGGAATATTTACTGTTCCTATAAGTGGTCTTTATCATTTTTTTCTTACAATATCTGTTTCAAAAGCTAAGGTTAGAAAAAATATTTGTTTTATAAATAAAAATACTAATCATTATATTAAAGGCATCGGTTTATATTACTCGAAATGGCGAACGTGTACGAACAGTTTGGATAGAATCAGTAGCAACAATACAAAATGAAACAGTAGCATGGGGTTGGGCAAGTGGTTCAATTGATTGTCTTTTATATGGTCAAACAGGTGATCAAATAGCAGTTGTTGCTTCTTATCGTTCACATGAAAATTTCAATTCTCAAGTGTATGGTTATTCATATTCAACATTTTCTGGATATATGTTACATAATATTTAGCAGATTTTATTGTGTATAAATAAGATTATACAGAAAAAAAAAAATTTTTTTTCGTTTTATTTTTAATCTTTTAAAAATGGAATTATATTATCAATAAACCATTGATCAGTAAATTCTAAATGATTCGTATCTGATTCAAGAAATTTAATACGTGATTGTTGATCCATTATTTTTAAACCTAATAAATCATTGATATATAATGAACTTTCACGTAAGGGAATAATTTTTGATGTATTATTTTCAGCATAAAAACCAAAATGTTCACTTTCATTTGGATATACCATTGTATCACGTAAAAATTTTACAAGAACTAAATTACCAATTTTTAAAAGATTTGTTTTATATTGTTCATTGAATATACGTTCTTGATTGATATCGGCTAAAAATACACTTACTTTACGATACGTTGCTTCTTGATGAGCTAAAAGAAAGCAAGCAAATATTTAGAATAGTATCCTGTAACCAATTCTAATACTCGGCATTCGAAGCATGGATCTAGAACCAATCTCGTGGACCAGTTCAGGTATCAGACATGAAAAAACAATGTCAGTTTGGGTTCTGAGTATGATCTCATACTAAGATTCGATCCGGCATTTCAAAATATTTTGACTTTTTTAAATTGACAATTTATATAAAAGCATAGGAGTGAAAACCTGAGTAATTTATTGTACTTTAAAGCAGATCATAGAAATGGAAAGCCAAATATTGTTTTACTAAAAGATGTTTGTACATTGAATGTTACAAAATAAATCTTAGGTTAAAAGTGATTTTTAATTAAAAATTTAAATAAACAAACAATTGTGTACCACATATTCTACTGAACTTATTTTATAACAAACTAATTGAGTCAACAGCATAATCAAAAAGTTTAGTTGACGAGTCTCAAATTTTTAAATCCTGCAGTTTTCAATATCTATTCATAATAATTATACATACGATCCTGCCAATATTCTGCTTGAACAAGATGATCTTGTACAAATGATTCATAGACGCCAATACGTAATAATTCTCGAACATAATTACATATTGTTATATTATCTCCTGGACATCGTGGAAATCCAAAAACACCTTGATGTTGACCGCCAATAGAAATTAAATTAAGCATTGGTGGATTAGGACAACGTTGAGCAATAGCACGAAGAAATTGTCCACCTTGAGAAAATCTTTTATAAGACAAAGAAAAGTTTATTTTTATTTTTACTAGAAACGTTTATTCGTTTTACCCAATAGCATGATAACCTTTTGAAAGATTTTTGTCAGCATTTAATAATTGACAAGCATAATCGATTTGATGATTAACATTCATAAAAAATCCATTTAATTGATCTTCTTCAATATTCGATCCAATTCGTAATGAATGAATATAAGGAGTTGGTGTTAATTGACGTTCAATTAATTTAATTATTGATCCAAGACTGTATGGATCACAACAACTATCCCCCATACCATGCCATAAAACAATTGGTGATGAACCAATTGTGGCAAAAATATGTGTGAAACAAATAATGATACCGACAACGAGTAACATTGAAATGAAAGTTTTATCTGCATGTGTATTTACTTTTTTTCTGAGATAACTGATATGTAATAGAAACAACTGATATTAACAAAGGACCTCAAAAAACTAAAACACACCAAATAAAAAAAATATTTTTTTTAAGAGAAACGAGCCGATCTTTTAGAAAGCTGTAGATAAAGGTAGAACGAACTTCAATGCACCAAAAATTACCCAAAGTAGGAGCGAAAATTATTTCAAATACAATGAATAAAAGACCAAACATATATCTATAAACTCGTATATATTAATGATTAGTTTGCTTCAAGTCATTTGTTAATAATGAACTCGACCGTTCTCGAATAACTATTTTGAAACTTTTGATTCTTATATCACTTTGTAGAGAACAATTTTATCTTTAATTCTATGCAAAAAAGAACGTTAACTTTCTCCGTTTAAACTTAATTTTCGCGTCTTAAAATGTAAACTCATAATTTCTAAACCAGAAGTCCTGCAAAAATTTTAAATCTATATTCGGAAAGAACATGAAATTCGCATTCTAATTCAATATTCTAAAATTTCTGTAGGCACCTTTAAGAAGCTGAAAAATGAATAAACATTTTGTCACATTAGTTTTTCATTATCCGTTACAATAAATGAAATCAAAACATTTATTTGGTTCAATGACATTCCTAAAATAGTAACCGATTTGACTCGTTGAAATTGATCAGCAGACATTTTTACTGGTGGTAGCTTATGCTAATAAATGTTAGTCTTCAAGAGGTTGGAATACTCACCGAACGTATCTTAGTCTTTCAATCGAATAAGTAATTCGAATTATCTCTCATACTGGTTTTTTTTAAGCATTAAAATTGGTCGACGTTATTCAACTCGTGATAATAAACTTTTTACAATGTTGTACTAAATGACTGCAGTGCTTGTGGAGTTCCATGGTCTAGAAATCCATTTTTTGTAAAACAACTATACTTTTAATAACCCCATTCTAGGTTGTGCTGGATCAGCAAAAAATGACCTGATTCTGAGCCCTGTAATCCAAATAGACAATGCCGACTCTCGAACGGTATATACATCATTAGATCAGATTCTGATATAGAAAGACCTTTTAAAAAAATGTGAAATCTGTAATTTTTTCAATTCGATTTTCTTCTATAGTACACAATATAATTTGATAATGTATGTCGTTGGATAGAGGAAGTCCTCCTCTACAAACTTGCATATGCCTCGTTGTCTAATCAAAATCTTATAAATGTCTTTGTCTTTGTTCATTCTATATAAATAATTTCGTGTGAAAAACAACAAGCACTTTTTATTATTTATGAAACTACACAATGAAACAAAAAAAATTTAATCTCGACGACGTTTTTCTTTGTCACGATCACGATCACGGTCACGATCTCGATCTCGATCTTTTCTATCACGATGTTCATGTCGACTTGAATGTTTTTTTCTACTATCACGTGCAGGCGAACGTGATTTGGATTTTGATCGACTTCTTGACCGCCTATAGAAAAAAAAACATCATAAAAATTCCAATAAAACAATTTTCATCTTACCGTCTCTTTTTGGAACTTTTTTCTCGTGGTGATAATGATCGAGCATAACGTGGTGATGGTGATCGTTCTGGTTTATCTAAATCTTTCCATTTTTTCTTTGATTTTTCTGGTATTGGTTCTTTCTTTTTCATTTTCTTTTCATCTTCATCATCACTTTCATCACTTGTTTCATTGTCATCAATATCTTCATCAAGTACAGATTGACGAGGTTCTAATTGATTATTTTCTTCTAATACATTTCGTTTTTGTAAACGAGGTAATTGTACATCTAATACACGTTCTTCACGTAATAATAAATCAATAAATTCATCCACATGTAAAAGTTCATATTCTATCAAAATAATCGAAATATTATAAGAAAGATATTTTACAAAAAAAAAAAAGAATTCTTACTGTCATCTCGATTCAAAAGTTTCATCTTTCGATAATCATTATAGAGTGGTTCGAGATATTTGTAAATTTCAACTGATGTACCAACTAATCGCATATAGAATGCACCAAGTGCACGAACATATCTAAACAAAAAAAAAAGGATAGATTCTTGTATATGAAGAACATAAAAAAAGAGATACTGTTGTATACAAAATTGAATAAAAGCTCATCAAAGTTCTAAGAAAGATATCTTTTTTCAGTAATAAATAACGTTGGAATATCAAATTTTTTTCACATATTTAAAAAGATGGAGATCAGTATGGTAATTCGTGTATAAAAAAAGAAAACAAATGACACCATAAGATTATTAATTTCTGCTGTTCTTTCAAAAATAATACTTTTTTATGGCATGAGTTAGAAAATCCCATCGAATTCTATAAGAAACAATATTCTCTTGTTCGCACTTTCTACTGTTGAAAGTGTCACATTGTTAAGAAATGTCATCCGTATTTGACTCTATTTTTAAATCTGATAGCGATATTAATTAGAAAATTTAGAAGTTAGATATGATCAAGTGTATGTCTCAACAATAGCGTAGAGCTGAGCAAGTTTGATTCATGATTTGAACTTGAGTTACGAGGAAATCTTTCCACCGTGAAAATCGCATTTGAGTTCAAGCTCTGTACATAAGGTAGAATCAAATGGTGTATTAAAAATCTTAAAAGGATAAGGGTCTCTAGGTCTTGTCTTCAGGGTTATAGCAGTATTACTGAAATTCTAGCCCGTAGCACAGTATGTACAAAGAAATCGGATGACAATAGTTTGATCTGAAAATTTCAATACTAACAAGTGTTCCTTTTACGAGATATTGAATTCTCAAAAACAATTGAGATTCTCAAATCTTTTATAAAATATGAGCGATTTTTAGTTGTTCAATATTTCGTGAAGAGAACATCACTTTGAGCTGAAATTTTCAGGAAATTCTACTTACAAGTCAACCTATCTATTAACAAAATTTCAGTGAAATAACTATAACTCTGTATAGAAAGCCTAGAAAGCCTTATCCTGTTAAGGTTTTTAATATTTCATAAGACTCTAGCTTATGCAGTGAGTCCGAATCCAAAAGCGATTTTCAAATTGAGAAAGTTCCCTGGTACTTGAAAATCTGGGGACGCTGACTTGAATCATTCATTGAAAAAAAGCAAATTCAAATCAATCTCTTAATAAGCTTGCTAGAAAAATCATGTGTGTTTCTGCAACATCACCACTATTTTCTCAAAGCTATCTTTTAATCATATTTCATCGTTCAAGTTTTTCACAAGCTAATATTTGTGAAAAAACATTAATCTAAATGTCAATAGATAACTTTTGCTTGTTAACGTTTTTCAGCTTAAGTTGTTTGTTTATAAAAAATAATGCATTGTTTATTTTATTTTGTTTTTGTGCAGAAAAACTAAGAACTAGATATTGTGTCAGGAAAAACTTGTTGTTAAGATTCTTTACAAAACAAATAAAAAATGCAATAATAACTAAACGTACTCAGCCTTAGTTCTGAATAT